ACACCCCTACCCCACCCTTAACCCCAAACCCACCCCCACCCACCCCCTTAAACACCCCCTACCCCACCCTTAACCACCCACCCCTCTCCCCCCACTAAACAACCACACACTGAAAAGGTCACTATTTACTCCTGCTGTTTTCCCCCACCAGTTCAACCCCGCCGCCGGTTGCAAGGTGTGTCACGGGACCCCCCCACCCCCACCCCCCACCATCCCCTACCCCTGCACCCCCCCCCCCACTCCCCGCACAGTACTCGTTGCAAACCGTTGTTGCTAGCCTGTGCACGGGACTCGCCTTGCAACCAAGAAATGAGCCTCGAGAACCGGTAACAAAGCAAGGATTTCAAGGTCGTTATTTTTTTTTTTTTTTTTTTGTCTCTTTTCTACCTTGTCTCTCTTCTCTTTCTTTCTACCTTGTCTCTCTTCTTTTCTTTCTTTCTACCTTGTCTCTCTTTCTTTCTACCTTGTCTCTCTTCTTTTTCTTTCTTCTCTCTTGTCTCTCTTTCTTTCTTTCTTTCTACCTCTCTCTTTTTCTCGTTCTTTCTCTCTCTATCTATCTATCTCGTTCTTTTGTTCTCTGCTTTTTCTTTTTTTTCAGTTCTACCATCTTTTATTTATTTATTATTTTTTTTACTATAATCTATTATTTTTCTCTTTTTTTCATTTTTGTTGTTGATTTTATCTGTATGAGTATTTTAGTATTTGTTTGTTTGTTTGTTTTTTGTATAAATTATTTTTTACTCAAAGATACCGTTATCATTATCATTACCATTATCGTCATCACCACACTTCCACCATCATCATCATCATCATCATTTCCCTATTCACTTCCTCTGTTCTTTAAATACTTCCCTATATAATGACTCGACCAAACGTATCTCATTACCATCTGATTGTAAGCACAAGACAGGAACACAACCCGATTATAGTGATACAATCTCTCTGAGGATACATGAGTCTTAATTCCGGGTGGCGTTAACGCTTATGGGAGACTGTGTGTGTGTGTGTGTGTGTGTGTGTGTGTGTGTGTGTGTGTCGTGTGTGTGTGTGTGTGTGTGTATGTATTGTGTTTCTTTTGTTTTGTTTTTGTAAGTTTTTGTGCCTATTTTTGTGTGTATTTGATATACAGTGCGTGTATATATATGTACATACGTAAATATATATACCTGTATACACTTACATATACATATATACTACAGGCAACACACACACACACACACACACACACACACACACACACACACACACACACCACACACACACACACACACACACACACACACACACACACACACACACACACACACACACACACACCACACAGACATCAGGCAGACAGAGAGACAGAGAAACGAGAGAGAACCAAACACAGAGACAGAGACAAAGTTGAGAGGGAGCGCGCACACACACACACACAAACCCACACACGCATCAATCCTCCCCCACACACGCACACACCCACTCCCCCTCGACCTTGGTACCTGGTAACTGCATACCCTCGTACTGGCGACACCTCCATCGCCTCGGAAAATCTTTGTTTACATTCGACCCGTAAATTAAAGATGGCGGCGGTCGCGTCCGATACCGCGCAAATGACTTCGTTCGATGTGACTTTTTTTTTTTTGACATTTTTATCTATCTAAGGGATTGCAGTTGAGTAAGTGAAGGTGGAAGATGGTGAGGAAGGAGGTATGTCCCCTTGCCAAAAGCAGGTGGGCGCAGAAGGCAACAGAAATAGACTAAATTGCAGATAAGTGCTGCGTATCGGCGCCGAGAGGCTTGTCCGTTTCGTCTAGTTGCTACCCTCGTGATGTTCTTCTTATCCATCTTCTCTCTTTCTTCCTCTTCCTCTTCCATCTCTTCTCTTTCTTCAATTCTTACTCTCCTTCCTCTTTCTTTCCTTCACTCTTCTTCTTCCTCTTTCCTTTATCTTCTTTTCCTACCTATTCCCTTTCCTCCTCTTCCGCCTTATTTTTTTCTTTTTCTTTTCATTTCTTCTCTCTTTTCCTCCTCTTCCTCCCCCTCAACCTCCTTCTTCTTCCTCTTTTTCGCATTTTACTTCCTTTCCCATGCCTTTTTTTTTCTTCTCCTCCTCCTCCTCCTCCTTCTTCTTCTTCTTTTCCTCCCTCCTCCTCTCCTCCCTCTTCCTCTTGCTTACTATTATTATTACGTAAGACAGCTAAATAAATCAGCTTTAACTCCCACTCTTGTATATGTCTCTGCCTCTGCATTAAATATCTATATTATTTTTTTTTCTTAGGGGGGGGGGCAGATCTCACCCCCCGCCCCCTCTCTTTTTTGTTTCTTTTCTCTTTTTGTTTCTTTTATCTAATTCTATTTTCGCGTGCGTCGTCAGGCAGAATCTATGTCGTTATTTTTAGTCCTCTTACTCGTGTCAATATAGCTTTATTTTTGGCCGAGTTTCTTTCTCTTTTTCGTATTAGGTTAGCTGTAAAAGATTTTTTTTTGAAAATGATATAATATTCATTTGAGTTGATTTCGAATACATAAAAGGGGAATTAAGTGACTATGATTTTTTTTTTTTTTTTTTTTTTTTTTTTTTACTTTTTGTCAATTTTATTCAATCGTGCGCATGTCGTTTTTCTTTTTTTATTGTTTTTTTTCTTCTATTCTTCACCTCCCGTTTTCTTTTTTGACGATTTTTCTTTCGACATCATCCTATCAATCAAATTCACTCACCCCTTCCCAAAAAATGGTATTTTTTTCTCTCTCTAAAAATCTGGTTCAAAGCGATCTTTAAAAAACATATTTTATATATATTTTTCTTTTTTTTTTTTTCTTTTCGTCTTTTTTTTTTACTCTCGTTAGCTTTTGACCTCGTGAAGAAAGACGATTTTTTTTTCTCTCTCCCTTTTTCGCTTTCTCACTCTCTTCTCTTCTTTCTCTCTCTCTTCTCTCCTCTCTCTCTCTCTCTCTCTCTTTCTCCTCTCTCTTCTCTTCTCTCTCTCTCTCTCTCTCTCTCTCTCTTCTCTCTCTCTCTCTCTCTCTCCCTCTCTTCTCTCTTTCTCTCTCTTCTTCTCTTCTCTCTCTCTCTTTCTCCCTCTCTTCTCTCTTCTCTCTCTCTCTCTCTCTCTCTCTCTCTCTCTCTCTCTCTCTCTCTCTCTCTCTCTCTCTCTCTTCTCTCTCTCTCTCTCTCCTCTCTCTCTCTCTCTCTCTCCTCCCTCTCTCCTCCTCCTCTCCCTCTCTTTCTCTCCTCTCTCCTCCTTCCTTCCTTCTCTCTCCCTCTCCTTCCTCCTTCCTCTCCCTCCCTTCTCCTTCCTTCTCTCTCTCCCTCTCCTTCTCTTCTCTCTCCCTTCCTCCCTTCTCTCTCTCTCCGTCTTCTCCCTCCCATCTCTCTCTCTCTCTTTCTTTCTTTTTATCTTTTTTCTTTTTTCTTTTCTTTTTCTTTTTTTTTTGAGTTTGTCGCTTGTAATCCCGTGTCGGCGGCATGTTAGATTTGGCGCCGATTTCCGAATCCGCTCTATCGCCTTTGAGGTCTTGTTAGAGCGAAAGGATTACGAACTTTTTTGAAATCTTTTTCTCTTTCTTTCAGTCGTGGGTTTATTTCTTTCAATTTGTTGGAGTGTTTTTTGGGGTTGTTTATTTTCTTGTTTTTGTTTTATTTTTTTAGGGTAATAAATTCATATGGGGGTGTATTTTCTAGACATGCGTGTATAGTTGTTGGTATTTTGTAAGTGTGTGTGTGTGTGTGTGTGAGTGTGTATGTGTGTGTGTGTGTGTGTGTGTGTGTGTGTGTGTGTATGTGTGTGTGTGTGTAAGTGGGCCTGTGTGCGTGTGTGTGTGTGTGTGTGTGTGTGTGTGTGTGTGTAAGTCTGTATATATATATATACGCATCTGTCTGTTTTATTTATTTGTACGTACGCATGAATTCACACGATTTTCCCATCTTACCAAATATTTACTTCACGTTCAAACCCCTTTCCCTCTCACAACACCCCACCACCCCACCCCACCCCCCACCACCCCACCTTCCTTTCCCCTCACAACTCCCCCCCCACCCCCCCACCCCACCACCCCACCTTCCTTTCCCCTTTCGACCCAAACAAAAATCGAATATATTTAAAATTACCACAGGCGATCGAATCCCCCTGAGGCGCAGTTGGTGACATAGAGGAAAAGGGAAAGGGAGAAGGGGGGGGGGGAATTGCGAAAGAAGCACATAGGGTGGATAAAGAGAGTGGGAAAGTGGGAGGGAGGGGAGGGAGAGAGAGAGAGAGAAGAGAGAGAGAGAGAGAGAGAGAGAGAGAGAGAGAGAGAGAGAGGGAGAGAGGGAGAGGGGGGAGAAGGAGGGAGGGAGGGGGGAAAAAGAAAGACAAGAAACAAACAAAGACAGAAAGAAAAAAAACAAACAAAGCGAAAAAAAAGAACGAAAACAGACCTACAGAAAAAAAAGAAAAACATCAAAAACAAAACACACAAACAACACAAACAACCAAACAAAACGAGAGACAAACAACCAAACAACCCGCCCGCAAAGAAAAGGTTAAACTGGCGGTTGGCGACGAGAAAGAAGCAGTTTAAATCAGTCTTGAATTGGGGAAGAATGTGGCGCGACATTTTAGTGTTTTCTAGAAATTTCCGGAGAAAAAGTCATGGCTGTTCGTTCCTTTTTTTTATGTTTTTGAATTATTTTCTTGCTTTTTGTGTTTTTTTTAATGTTGGGAGTGGTGTTAATTGTGTTATTTACAAGGACGTGACTGTAGCAATATTATCATCATTCATCATATCTTATCACCACCACTACCATCCATCATCACTACAACATTACAATCATTATCACCATCATAATCATCACCATTATCATCACAATCATCACCACCACCATTACCATTATCATCATCATTATCACCACCATCATCATCACAATCATCATTACTGATAATTACTATGTATCATTATCTACTATTGCTCAGAGTTACTACTTTTATTTCACTTTTTCGAAGTCGTTAATGTCATTTTTATCCCTTTTTCACAGTAATTAAATAGATTAATTAAGACGTTTGAACGCTGATCAAAGAGTTAGTGAAACATTAGCAACCTTCTTAAGAAAACAAGTTGCTCGTTAGTTAAACCAATAAAGACAATCCCAAAACAGAAAATAAAACTACAAAACATCAACAAAGTAAAAGAGAAACAAACTAAAAGAAACTGATAAAGAAAGGTAAAAAAAGGAAGTGAGAGAGAAAAAAAACCAAAATGGTGGCGAGGTTCGCGCAAGGGCCGCCAGGTGGCAGCTCGAGCGACAAAATGAAGCTCAGTCGAAACAACACTTTGCTCCCGTTTCCGCCGCATATCCTCGAGGAAATGGGTCGAGGAGGAGGTCTCGGAGGTGGAGGAGGAGCAGGAGGAGCAGGAGAAGGTGGAGGACTGCCTAAAAACCCGAGTAAGATGTCCTTTCTCGAGTATTACCAGGTGGACCTCGAGGGGATTCGGAGCGAGTTTCGAAGCAGCGGATCTTCGGGATGCGTAAGTTGTGGATTATTTTTTCTTTCTTCTTTTTTTTGGTGTTTGTTTTTAATTCCTTTTGAGTGTGTGTGTTTGTCTTTGCTTTTTGTTTAAAAATAACAGTAATTTATTGTTGTTGCAGTTACTGTTATCATCATTATTATTATTGTTATTATTATGTATTACCATAATCCTTTTTTATTACATTTGTTTAGTAAGCTGTATTTTTTCATATTTTTTGGGAAATGATTGATTTTTTGTGTTTTTGTTGTTTATTTTTTATTTTTTTCTATTATTATTATTTTTTTTTCTTTTTTAGAAATGATTGTTTTTTGTATTTTTGATGTTTTGTTTGGCCGTAAAATCGCTTTGGTTCTGTTACAACGATTTTTTTTTGTAGGCCTATATTTAGTATATGGTAGGCCTTTCGAGTGCTGGTCTATGACATTGTTGGTCTGTTTTATTTTCTGCGATCTTAGGTTAGGCTGTCTTTAAAAATGTGCGTGTGCGTGTGTATGTAAGTGTGTTTGTGTGCGTAAGTGTGTGTGTGTGTGTGTGTGTGTGTGTGTGTGTGTGTGTGTGTGTGTGTGTGTGTGTGTGTGTGTGTGTGTGTGTGTTTCTGTGTTCGTGTCTGTGTATGAAATTATATGTGTACCTGTGCGTTTGTGTTTTTATGTACGTGTGTGTCTTTGTGTCTTTTCCGACCGTTAAATTGAATTTTCACTTATCCATTCATTTACACATTTCACAATACAACATTTTTTTTTTTTTTTTTTTTTTAGACGTACAAGAGAAGGGAAAGAGACAAATAATTAAGTTGAGATGAAGTCACAAATTCTACGGGAAACTAACTTCTGCTTTTGAAAAGTAAAAGGAATTCCATTTTCAGTCCTTTTAAGATTATTGTTTTGTTTCTGAATATTTAATATATATATATATATATATATATATATATATATATAGAGAGAGAGAGAGAGAGAGAGAGAGAGAGAGAGAGAGAGAGAGGGAGAGAGAGAGAGAGAGAGAGAGAGACAGACAGACAGACAGACAGACAGACAGACAGAGAGGCGTCCACGTGTTCGTTATGTCCTTCTAGTGTTGGAGTTACCGAAAGAAGATTAATAGATAGATAGATAAGTAGATATATAGATGTGTAGAGAAATAAATGAATGAGAGAGATACACAGATTAATAGATAGGTGAATAGATATATTGACAGAGAGGGAGAGGGGAGGAGAGAAATAAATAAATGAGAGATAGACAGATAAGTAGATAGGTGAAGAGATAGATAGGTAGACAGGCATAGACAGAGAGAGAGAGGGAGGAAGGGAGAGAAATAGATAAATTAGATAGAGGTAAATGGATAGATAAATAGGTAAGTAGACAGACAGAGAAAGAGAGGGAGGGAGATAAATAAATAAATCAGATAGATAGATATAAATAGATAGATAGATTGACAAATAGACAAACACTCACATCCGGGTCTTAACTCATTAATCCTTGCCACCTGTATCAAATCCTTATATAAAACACCTGTCTTCCGTCTCCATAAATAATGAATATTGCAACCAAGTTCTTTGCGTCACAAAACACATTTTACGTAAAGTTATTGGCGTGCAAGTTCGTAAGATTTAAGGAGGTGGTGTAAAATGAGGTTAAATTGATGGGTTGTATGAGTGTGTGTGAGTGTGGTGTGTGGGTAGCGTTGGATGGTGTTTGGACTGTATGTGGGTGTGAGTATGGTGTCTTGTGCGAGTAGAAAATTGTTGGTGTTGTTGTTGTTGTTCATCATGTACATTGTTATTAATCATTATTAGTATCGTTATCATCATTGTTGTTATAATCATCATTATCTTATTTGTTATTATAATCATATTATCTTATTGGTTATTATAATCATCATTAATATATTATCATAATTGTTATTAATCACCTTTACTATCATTATCATCATTGTTATTATAATCATTATTATCATCATCGTAATTGTTTATCATCATTATTATCATTATCATCATTATAATAATTGTTATCATTATCATCATTGTTCTCATTATCATCATTATTATCATTATCATCATTGTTATTATAATCATTACTATCATTATCGTAATTGTTATTATAATCATCATTATTATCATTATCATTATTACCACGTTTATTGTCATCATCATCTATTATTCATGAGACAGTATTATAACCTCCCTCACGATTTTTACAAAATTCATTACGTAAATTTCAATTCCTCGCTGGTTCTCAAACTCAGAAACCTGTGCTGTTCCATTCATTTTTAAAGTATGATAATAACAATAAAAAAATATAAAAAAAAAATAAAAAAAATAATAAAAAATAATAAAGATTGTGCTGTTCCATGTATAAAATGATAATAAACTACAAAAAATATAAAAATAATAAAAACAATATAAAAAGGATAAAGAAATGATAAAGATAATTAAAACAACAACTTTTGCCGTATTAGGATTATATTATCCATGACGACGAATTCATAACACGGGCAGCAA